TCTATGAGGCTTCCACTAAATGTGTCACGTAAAGACCAACCCCATAGACTTCACATGGAGTAGTAATGTGCCCATCTCATCAGAATAACGGGCTTATATACTGCCCAATATCACGTGTGATAATGAGACATCATTCCCTGCCGTTCATTTTCGGATTTCTGGAATTAATCCAGAATGCCTCGAGAGTTTTGCGCGCTCATGTTCTCGATTCCTGTGCGAGTCACGCTCATGTTCTCGATTCCTGTGCGAGTCACTAAATGTGTCACGTAGAGAACAACCACACAGAGGTCTATCCGTTTTGCCAGTGTATTCGTCTCCGCACGCCTTACAGGAGATCAGATAAACTGTACTCGAACTCATGCAATCACCCTCTCTACCATTAGGGCAAATTATGCAATTTTGCGTTGCACATAGACGGTAATATTGGCGGTTATGAACTAGCCGGCGCCTAAGATTACTCGGTGGCATTTCAACTACGTTTACCGAATTCTCTAGACCCGCCGTTCTTAAGCAACGTTTTATAGCTGCACTTACACCATTTGAGATGAAGGGTAGGATAAACGGGACTTTTTTTATCGCTATAGTTGTCATTTGGAAGCCTAGGATTTTCCCTACACCTATCCCGACCTACAGTTTCATAGCCATTGGAAATGGCTATTTGCCGCGCCAAGTTCCGAGACTCCCTCTCTCTGCTCTCTTCCCATGCACACGTTGGTTGCTGTTCGAAACATGTTTCTTACAAGTGCCCTTTTCGTGTGAGAGGGGTGAGAGGAGAGGCAATGAACCAAGATGTTTTCATTACTTGGCTTTCGGTACCACTTCGTAATGTACACATTTTCCGACTGGTTAATTTGGACGTTCAGGAATGGAAGCCAGTTTTCTTTCGGTTTCTCTCGAGTGAACTTGATATATTCTGACTGTTAATTCAACAACTCGAAACATTTGTCCATTTCCTCTTGTGTTGAGCAAAAGACAAAACAGTCATCTACATATCTACAGTAGAGTAGGGTCCCGAGACCGGTCGCCGGTGTTTCCCCTCTGGGTCCGCAAAAAAGAACCCCTAGTCGGCAAACGTAAACCAAATATCCCACTAGGCACGCATAGGACCCAGAGACATAACTGGAAAACTTTGAAGTACGTGTCACGATCCTCGCACAGGAATCGAGAACATGAGCGCGCAAAACTCTCGAGGCATTCTGGATTAATTCCAGAAATCCGAAAATGAACGGCAGGGAATGATGTCTCATTATCACACGTGATATTGGGCAGTATATAAGCCCGTTATTCTGATGAGATGGGCACATTACTACTCCATGTGAAGTCTATGGGGTTGGTCTTTACGTGACACATTTAGTGGAACCCTCGTAGAAAGTGGTGAGTGTGCAAAGCTGTGTTCAAAGTGATTGAAATCTTGGTTTAGCGTTTTTTCGTTTGTTTAGTTATGGAGGTGTTTAGCTGAATAGATTGCTGTCAACTGGATCTTTCCAGGTTCTGAGGAAGGCGAAATTCGCTGAAACGTCACCTTATTTGTGAATAAAGAATAAAAATAACACCTAGCGTTTGCTCAACAAGAATATGAAGAAAGGAATTGTACCAGCAATCATCCACAGAAAGTGTCCCGCTCCTCTTAACAATGTTGTTGATAATCACAATCTTAACCTTTTTATTTACTGCCCATTCTTTCTTTTTCAATGGCAGGGTATGTTGCAAAATATAACTTCTATAATGCTGAGATATTTGGAAAACTCCGGGCCGCAGCTATCCGCGGTGGGGAACGAACGCGCTATTGTCCTTTCCGGTGGGTAACGCGTTCACCACTACACCATACGGGTCCTTCGTTTCGTCTGTTACTCTCCGGAAAGGACATTAGCGCGTTCGTTCCCTACAGCAGACACGTGCGGTCCGGAGTTTTGCAAATATCTCAGCATTATACGAGTAATATTTCGCCACATACCCTGCCATTAAAAAAAAGAATGGGTAGTAAGTAAAAAGGTTAAGATTGTGATTATAACTATAGCCTCAGCTTAATTGGGTTCAATGCCGATTGGGGCTCCTCAGATCAATCCCGTTGACGGGTGATTGCTAATGGCAAAAGATCGATAGAACTAGCTGAGAGACAGGCGAAGCGAGGGAACCGCATGCTGTGGTGGTGAACGCGTTACTCCCCAGAAAGGACAACAGCGTTTTCGTTCCCCACCGCAGACACCTGCGGTCCGGAGTTTTGCAAATATCTCAGCATTATACGAATTTTGCTGATAGCTATGGTGACTGAACCGCAAAAATATGGCTTTCTATACAGCCTTGCTGATCCCTTAGGAAAAGGGATCCGGTGAAGAAACAACATCTGAAAGAGGTTGGGTATTACACCATTGTAATAAATCTTCGACTGGAAGGGTAACAGCATACACAATGGTGGGAAATTTTCTTTAAACATTCCTTTTGCTGACATTATTAACTTTTCGAAGAGTACTAGCAAAGCCAAGATTATGCTTCAAAAATGATAGAACTGCACATGAATCGCAAGCAAACGCTATTCGTGAAAAACCCATTATGCAACGAATAAATCAAACTGGATGCTTATTTGTTACGGGACCAAGTGAAACGTGTACCTCGGGCGTATAAAGAACATGGAGAACAACATGAAAGAGGAATTGTACAGAAAAGGAGATTGTCATGGGCCACATTTGGGACACTCAGTGAAGTCGCCAACCAACTAAAAGACCCAAGATTTCGCGCTCACCTTTTGATCTCAACCGTTTTCTCAACGTTCTGTTATGCAGCGAGCGGATGATACTTAACCAATGTCAAAAACTCTACGCATCACCCACAGGACGCTTGGACGATCTCTTCTGAAATTTTACCGGCACAGACAACGAGCATCCTGAATGTGAAGCTTAAATCTTTGAAACTCATCCAGTTTTCAAGATCCAAGATAATATCCATCGATAGCGAAATATGAATGGACCAGTTATGAAATGAGATCTGACGAAGTTTGGACGAGTATAAGTGTGATGTTCACTTCAAGAGTATGTAAACGTCCTTTAGGCTGATTCTAATAAAATGGGCACATGTGTTTGTAGCTTTTCTCGAGCAGCCGCATTCGCAACTGGAAGCGATTTATGGGTCAGGGTGACCCTTGTGAACTTCACCACTAAGAGCGTTACTATGGATAACGATCACACAAGCAAGACATGGTCAGAAGATACGCTTCATCGCGTACTGTAAAAGGCGGTCCCTCCAAGCATGAAAGGAAGTACTTCGATCACTTTTACTTAATTGAGATGTTGAGCGTTCAATTTTCCCAAATAGTCATGCGAGTTCCTGCACAATTTCCACGACTGATTTATTGCTCTAGTAGGATTTTAACTATGTGAAGCCTTGAAAGCCATGTTAAAACACCACTGTGAAATACAGGCCCTCATGCGTCGGAGGCAGACTGGACAGCTTGCAACCAACTTCCTTTCAGGGCAATAGTAATTCCTGGAGTTGATTTAGGCCTAGCCAGGCTGTGGAAGGAAATGTTGAACTATTCACATAAAGACTTTGTTGACTAGTAAATTTCTGCTGTAAAACGCTGCTAGACACCTTGAAACATCGCAACTACGATAAAGCTGTGAAACACCGAAGACTTATTTTACCTTATAAGGTTGAGTGATTCAAAGTTACTTCGTTGCTTTGCAGTTGTCACACGCGGATAATAATTGGATTTGTTTGCCGTTTCGGATACGACCTCTGTGCCTGTGGATTTCATTCCTCAATGAGACACTGAGTGGTGATCAGGGGTGATTTCGTGTTAAGATAGCGGCGCTAGAGCATTACCACCTCTCTACCACTCAGCTACCCGTCCTCTTGAGGGTGGTGCAAGCTGAATTTCGCATCTTAAACCTTTTCGCTTGGAAATTGGATATTACAACGTTTGAAAGAACGGTTTCACAATCCTAGCGCTCATTGAATCTATGTCTGACGTTCCCATACGACTATAACCAGATGTTTCTCATTTCTTTTTCATGAATTTCACTGATTTTAAATCTCGCGCTTTTTTAAAGACGTTGTTAAGACGTTGGGTAAGCAATTTTCGTTTTGTGTTCTAAACGGGAAAGGTTTGTTCGCTATAAACTTCGGCCATAATCCTCCTACAACGATTCAGCACCACTCAAACGAGTGGAATTCCGACGCTTAGGCGGCGCAAGGCGTGAGCTTGACCAAGGATTATCACTGGCAAAACCCGCTTTCTTTGAAGTGGGCAATCTAGCCCATTTCAAAATGTCTATATTGCCACCTCGACGTTTTGTCTATCACAACTACGTAAACTGTGATTTACAAAGCTCCTCGGAAATCTTTGCTAAAGACCCGTAACACTCAAAGAGAAAAACAACAGCTAGAAGCATCGTTCCCAGTAAGAAGTAATCTCATTTCTTGGTGCTGTCTTTTGCAAGTGACGGTTTAAAAAAAATGAAAACTAAGGAATTCTTTACATTTCTATAACAAAAGTGCGACGTACCTTCTCCGCCTCAGGACTACATTCTTTTGTTCCATAGCACTGAAGTGTAAACAAAAGCCCGTCAAGTCATCCGATCTGGATCGACATAGGTTCTTTACCTTAGTGTTGAAAAAAAAGAATTGGCAACGATTAGACCAACCCATGTCTTGATATCTCTGAAGAAGAAGCATGTTCATCACCGTTAGCTTAGAAGTAAATTCCTCCAAAGCCTCTTAGTATTGTTGTAAACTTTTTGAAATCACTAAAGACCGAACATCAGAACCTCCTACATCCAGAATCCCAAGCGTAGCCCGAGGGGGCGTGTCGGGACTCGTTCGTCCCTCGACGTTTTGTGGGGATGGTTCAGAGGGGCGTGGTATCATGCATGAGGTCGATATCCACATTCATCGCTGGTCGCGCACTCTCACACATTTGACTTCACTTGATCATCGATCAGCTTCGGTCTGCTATCGATTTTCAAACCAGGCTATAGAGTTTCTGATCGACTTACTTTGTTGCGATGGCAGCTATTGTTCGTCAGAGCAAATTCCGTCATGTCTACTGCAAACCGGTGAAGCACGAACAGTGCATGTCGGACATTCGAGTGCGTGGGGTTTAGAGAACCTAAAAGGTTTGGGAGAGGAATTAGTCATCGTAGAAGTGTTCGGTTTAGAAATATGTTAATATGTTTTTAGAAATCTGTTCTTTCTTTATTCCACTTCAAGTTAGACACGAGTAAGATTGTCAACTTAGGCAGATAAGGGTGATCTTATGAGCTGATTTAACATTTTGCTAGCAAGTAGGTAAAGAAACCCTTATCTTAGAAATAAGAAGCTGGGGAAATTTCCAGTAGAGCATTGCGGAAAATAAGTGAAAATCTTGAAGATTCGATGCACTAGGAGATTCTGCTGGAGCATTTCATTTCAAAAGATAGGAAATGCTGAAATCCTTCAGAAATTTTCAGGTCACTGAGATCACTTGGGACTCACTGTTTTGCGCGGTGAATCCAAAATTCGTCGCGTTTATCACAAAAGGAGCAGGAGGTCCGTTTATGGTGATCCCGGTTAATAAGGTGAATTTTCCTCGTCATTTTCCCTCCTTTTCTTCTCACTGATTCCTTCTTATTATTTTCGTTTCTATCAGCTTCAGAGTCATTGCTCATCGATTACTGCCCCTTCAGTCGGTTCTTTCTCTTTGCTTTCATTCGCTCTTTTTTCATATCTTTTCCGGATAGAGTTTCTTCTCAATCGATATCGGTTCCGTGCTGTTTCTCGCTGCTGTAATAGACAGACATATGCTAGCACCCTCTGTCCGTCGGTTCCTCTTGAACCACGTTCAGCTCAGTTGCTTGTTTCTGAGCACTAGTTTCACAACAACTAACCGACTGTTGAGCCTTTATAGGTGTAAATCAGAGAGGTGAAGTTTGAAGTTATGTGTCAGCTGCGGCGTCATCGAGATGGGTTCCTGGTTTTTTCCTCGTTTTAATTTGCCCTGAACCGAGAAAATTGTTCCATTCATGAAATAAGAAGTGCTGTGGTCATGTTTTATGGTGGAAACTAGCACTCTAAAGGAATTCTCAGGCTGGCACCATTGCGAAGTAAAGCCTTGCTTGTTCTTTCAGTCGAAAGAAAATCAATGCAGGCGTGAACACGGGTTTGAAATTATGGAAAGGATTCTCTATGTAGTACCGACATTGCGAGGTACTCTACCGTCCATGCTAAGTGATGGATGGAAATCTGTTCCACATTCGCCGTGTTCTGCTCTGAGTTTGTTTTCGCGTTAGAAACATGTGAGGGCAAGCGAACAAATCACCTCCGCTAATCCATGCGTACTACGCTAATCCCTTCCTGTTTTCGTGTTTACAGATGAAGTTCATCATTTTCAACTCGTATTGAACTTCGTAGATCAAGAATATGAGTTAAATAAAGGCCAAGTTGATGTCAGCGCTATCGGCATTCTTACTCCGTCTTTTCCTCATTGTTGTTTCACCTACGTATAATGACGTCATACTCAGTCTGCTATTCCATAACTTTTGTTCCCCTTTCATTAACTATTTACCACCGTGTTATATGTTTTCTCCTATCGGTTTACTGCTTCATCGTAGCTGGAAGGTGTTCCTGGGTGTCGGGCTGCGTTGTACAACGGGGCGATTTATCTCCCTGGTATGATCTCCCAAGCTAAGAAAGAGTCCGGCGTTTCCATTACGAAGTCTAGCTAAGCGGAAACCAATTCCAGGATCTACCATTGCCCTGGTATTAAAGTCGCATGGTGGCAAATCTCCCTCTGATCCACAAGGGCTGCAACTGCTTGTGGTGGTGAAGACCTAGGGCAGACTTTGGCCAGCTGACCTCTGGATTTCAGGGAACCACAATGACTTAACCAGCAAATCTCCAAAAAATGGAGGTTGTGCTGGGACCCAGGCAACCAGTAAGGACGGGCCATTCGAGTATCAAGTAAGTAAGTATAGATTTAGACGATGCTGGGCTGGACATTTTTTGCCATTGTAGATGCATGCACTAGTTGATTTGATTTCAATCTATTCATGATGCTGGTTTTTTCGGTTAGAAATGTGTAATTACAGATAAAAAAATTTACGTATAAACTTCTGCTCCAAGTGCCTCACAAGTCTAATCATCGGCCTCTTCTTCGCGAACGTTAAAACTACTGCGAAAATTACTTAGTTAAGACCAGAAACGAAATAGCACGACTATTCAGGGCGAATGTCGTACAGAGCCGTTCGAAAGGGCCGGTGGCTCGAATGAGTGTCTGCTCTTTGACGCACGCAGGCTGCACAGCCGGCAATCGTTTGCACTGTCATTGGTGGGACTACTGGGCACAGCCGGAGACTGTTTGCACTGTCGGTGGAGGGGGACTCCTGGCTGTTGTCGATATTGTATGACAGTGGTTAGGTCCGTCTACCTCTCCAATTTCTCGCACGTCCAGGAGCAGTTGAATTAAAAGCGGAGAAAAATGGAAAAGGAGAATCAGTAACCAGTTAATTCACACGAGCGAGATCCACTAAGGTTCTATTCTGCGGCCCTCATATCTGATGAAGTGTATGGTTCTTGAGTTGTCGATATACTAGAAAATCTCTGTTCTGTCGAAAATCGAGCAGCTATTCTTTGTTCAATGTGACTGAAATCTTTTTTAAACATTTTCTGTGTTTGGTTGTGGAGGTGTTCGGCGGGTTACATTGCGGTCAACTTGACCTTTCCAGGCTCTGAGGAAGGCGAAATCCGTCGAAACGTCAGCTTGTACGTAAGTATAAAAATAAAGTAACGTATTACTTTTGCTCAACAAGAATATAAAGAAAAAGGCGTGTTCCGGAGTACGGTGGCGTACAAAGTAACATGCATCGTTATTAAAAGGATACGTTAACTAAACAGTGTGGTAGTTACTCAAATGACCTCATCTTGAGCCACAAATGGCCTGGCAAGAGCTACCCATACCCAAAGAGAGATAGGGTCGTAGCACAATATAAAGAATTGTTCTATCACTGTCGAGGTTAATAGAAAGTCGGTCATGGAAAAATCTGTGCATTTCCTAATCTCCACAGTTGACTTGCTTAGATTCCGTTTTCTAGCCTCATAAGAAGTTTGATTCCTCACAAGGAGGATTTTGATTGTTTTGTGCAATTCGATATGCTTTCATGCCTCATATTCGATGCAAAACTTGAAGTAACATCCAAGTCTTATGTCGAATGTTACCACTACAGTACCATTTTCTGTATTTTCCGTTTTTCTTCTACTTCGGTTTCCATCGCTTTTGTCATTTAATGTTTAAATTTTTTTTCATCGTTTTAGTTCTTTACTTTAAATTAGTACTTCCGTAGTGATGGGAATGTGTAATGTGGAGAGAGGGTTCATCTCCCGCTGAGTCATCCAAGGTCAGTGTGAGGTTTGATGTCGTACGGTAAGCGTAGATTGGGTGGGCAGTACTAGCAGTAGTAGATATCTGAGCAGGATTTATTAATCAGCCAAAGCCAATTGAGCTGGCGACGACGTGACCAAAAACCTTTCTAGTTTTAAGAGGAACAATTTGCATTTCAGCAACAGCCAAGTGATAACGATTCCCATCTAGCGACTGGGTCAGTCCGATTTCTCGCATGTAAAATGAAACCCTCCCCCTTGGTTTACCGCCTCATCGTGGCTGGGACGTGTTCCTGGGTGTCGGACTTCGATGTACAGCGGGAGATTCATTCCCTGTCATGGTCTCTCAAGCTGAGAAGGAGTCCGACTTTCCATCAGGAAGCCTAGTTAAGGGTAAACCTATAGTAGGACCCATCACCGTCCTGCTATCAAAGTCGCATGGTGACAAATCTCTCTCTGATCCACAAGAGCGGCGACTGCCTGTGGTGGTGAAGACCTGAGGCAGACTTTGGCCAGGCTGACCTCGATATTCCAGGGAACCACAGTGGGTTAACCAGCAAATCTTCGAAAAATGGAAATTGTGCTGGGGTCCGCACAGCCAGTGAGGATGAGCCATTCAAGTATTAAGTATTAAGTAAGTAATATGAAAACTATTGTAGTAGGTGCCAATTTCAATGATTCATTTCAAAATTGGTAACCACGAACTAAGTTGAGAGAGTAGGTTGGAAACTATGATGTCACTGGGAACTCTCCACTTATCCATCTATTGGAGGTGCTTTGTTCCTTATCATACAACCACAGCGATGCTAAGGTATTCGCAAAGCTTTGGCCGCGGGCCTAGACTCCATTCTTTTCTTTATCTCAGTAATACCAAAATTGTGCTCCAAATATCATTGCCTTAGCACATGCATTGTCTTCCATCTACAGCTGTGAACCATAACGTGCACTGGGAAAGAATCTCTTACTGGCAGGCGATTTAGAACACTTTAGAACAGCTTTTCGCACATGAAGGTAACTAGTTTCTGGAAGCGATTGTTTGGAGTGCTGGTAACTGAGGAGTTCGGATGAAGCTTGTCACTCCCATCAATTATAATTTCATAACACATACAGTTATGCAGACATTATGTACAGTACCCGTTACTGCCTTCATCGACCTCAAAGTACTACATATCGTCCTTCTGTCGAGATCGATTGTCTCTTCCATTATTAAAACATTCGCCGATCTGTTACACTTAGAAAGCGTTTTTCCCAAATTCTTCATTCCATCTTCCAACTAGGCCTTAAAAGTGTGCCGTGCAGCCGATGTTTAGTAGAACAGTAGCGTACAGCTGCACTACGACTCATGCAGGAGTGTTTGTTTTCGTACAGATGGAATATTTTTCTATAACCTTTGTTTTGCCATAGAGATATCTCCGAGGAAGAGAGACGATATTAACCTCACTTAGTAAAGCAGTTAGAAAATAAGGTTGGGATTAGTCTACCTTATTTCACTGAAAAGCTAACACGAGGTTGTTACCGCAATATTTTCGGCTAACCTTGGGACGTCTTGTTTATGAAACACACTTGTGTGAATACAGGAAGCAGGATGGTGAAATGGATCGTTAAAGCTGCAACGTAGACTCGAAACTACCATATGAATACCAGGCGCAAGTAACCATTGTGTGGACCAGCCTCCCTCACAGTTAACGGTTTCTTCCTGCTGTAATTCTATTGAGAATAGTGATATATGCACACCTCTTCCATGCGTATATCAAAGGATGAAGAAACTGGGTGCCTTTTTGTCTTCTCTTCTTTCGTAACTATGATAAATTCAACAAAGTAACGACATCAGATTTCTTCGTATATGGCCAAAAGCCATTGGAATTCGAACTGTGAGAGAGAGGTGATGGTTGTTTTCGTCAAACACTGAGCGGCGACAGTTTTCTATATTTATTATGTACCTTTATAGTCTAAAATATCCATCGTTTTTACTTCTGAGTGTTCTGTACCTTAACATTTATTTAACTTTCCAGTACTTTTCTTAATGACTCCAATTGCTGTGAATCTATGGGAATACAGAGTTCTATACCACATTAAAAATACTTAATGATAGGTTAACCTCATTTATACTACAGTAAGGCTATAAAGTAGAAAAGTGTTTTAGGTCGGTCGAATCGACAAGGACTATCCTTTCGTGGACGCACATAAGGGTGCTTGTCTGGAAGTGGCATGGAGTCCGTTCAACGACAACGTCATCGCTTCGTGTTCTGAGGATACAACGTGCAAGGTGACGAGCTGTTCAAGTCGTTTACTGTTATAAACACTCTATTCGCTTAACACTGGAAGGTCTTTCGATTCCTAAATGCTAGACGGTTCATCGTGAAATGGAAGAAGAAATATCTGAAATTTGGAGTTCCTCAGTGTTTATCACGTATGATGGTCGGGCAACGGAACACTAACGTTGATCCCGCACAAAAATCGTTGGCTTTCAAGCACATTAAATTTTTCTTTACTTTCACCTCTGTTGTTTAAGTCATGAAGAATTGCGGAATATTTCAAAGCGTATTTCTTGCGCGGCTATTCAGTATGTAATGTTTTTTTAATGGATAGTTCGCAGCGGTTTGAAGCTGGATAGGACATGATTCTTCTGAAGTAACAAATTCCTACCTTTTCCCACATTACTTTAAACTTGCATTTGCACGGGCCAAAGAAGCATTTCCGATCGTAAAATCCCGGAACATAGATATGAGTTGTGGTGACGAAGACGCTGAGAGGCATCCATTAGTAATTGAGGACGACCATCTGGAAACGTTAATCGGAACTGACTCTCAAGAGTTTGCGGAGGAACTTATGATTAGCGAACGGGTAGTCGTTCATCATTTGGAAAGCATTGGAAAGCTGAAAAAGTTCGATAGATGTGTGGCGAACGAATCGAATGAAGAGCAAACAGATTGCTGTAATGGAGTCTGCCCTGTGCTTTATTAGCACAACAAAAACTACCCATTTCTCTAAGCATTGTAACTTGCGATAAAAATTGTGTGCTATACGACAACTTACGACGTTCAGTCCAGAAATTGGACAAGGGCGAAGCTTTTAAACATTTTCTAAAGTTCCATCTGCAGTAAAAAGGTTATGCTGACATCGTTTTCTTGTTCAGCAACCGCGAGGTTGTTATGCAGCATACAATTACTTCCATAGAGAAACAATACAATACAGCGCTAGCTGACGTTTCGGCAGTATCGCCTTCTTCAGAGCCTGGAAGGTTATGCCGATATACAATCTACTAGGCCAAACGCTTCAATAACACTTACAAAAAGACGAAAAACTCTTTGGTAATTACATGATCAACACCTTCTCAAAAAACACCGCTTTCTACGTGACTTTCAATGAGGAAGATTAGAACAGCTGATTATAGTCGCATATGGTTGATGAGTGCACCATCCCACATCAGAATGACCTCCGGGCATTCGTCCCTGCTATTCATTGTAGAGTTTTTGGCATTTATCCAAAAAGCCTAGCAGATTGTATGTCAGTGTACCCTTCTAGGCTCTGAAGAAGGCGATACTGCCGAAACGTCAGCTAGTGTTGTATTGTATTGTGTTTCTCTACGGAAGTAAATGAATGCTGTTTAACAATCTCGCGATTGCTGAACAAGAAAACGACGCATTCATATTCCAATGCCGAGGTTAATAGAAAGTCGATCCCGGGAGCTGTTATGCTGACAGTTTGATGATCTGTGGCAGGATTAATCCACCAAATCTTGGCAGAATGTCTGCAGCAGAAAAGTACTGTCACGAAACTGTTGTAATTCATCGAAAATAGCACCCTAACCAGCAATAGTAGCCAACAGAAAGTGTCCAGTTCTCTTACAGTACAATGTTCGCCCTCATAACTAACAGATAAGAAGTTGGACGAATTGCTGTCCCACTTAGCCGCACTGATTGGCATATTGTTGTGGCGCGACAGTTAACAATGCGGTTAACTTCTAGTGATTCTAATTAGAGAATTCTTCAATATCATCAAGATCATCATGTTGGATTCATTTGAAAGTTTAGTCAAGTGTTCACTTACAATCATCGGCTTACTGCCTCATCGTGGCTAGGAGGTGTTGCTGGGTGTCGGGCTGCGATGTACAGCGAGGAGATTCATCCTCCCGGCAGGGTCTCCCGAGCTGAGAAGGAGTCCAGCGTTTTAATCAGGAGACCCTGCTAAGAGTAAACCAATGCCAGGATCCGTCACTGTTCCGGTACCAAACTAGTCGCATGGTGGCAAATCTCTCTCTGATCTACAAGGGCGGCGACTGCCTGTGGTGGTGACGACTTAGAGCAGACTTTAGCCTGGCTGACCTCGGGACTCCAGGGAACCACCACAGCTAAGCCAGAAAAACTGGGAAAGTGGAGATTGCACTTGGACGGTGAACCAGTGAGGACGGGCCATCCAAGTATACAAGTAAGTTCGGTTACCGTTGGTATTTGTAGATATAATGCACAGCAATTCACTGGAAAAGGAATTTTCAACGTTGTTGGAAGTCTTTTCTATCAAAAAAGAAAATATGTTTCGAAAAATGTTGGTACATTTGTGAATGTATATGGCACTTTGAGGCCAATGATACATGTATAGGTATGGCTGATTCCTGAACACGGTCTGTTGCGAAACCTCACCGAACCAGTTGTCGAACTTAGTGGACATCAAAAGAGGGTGAACACTCTGGCATGGCATCCGGTCGCCAACAACCTTCTACTCACCGCTGGTTGGTCTTAACAAAGAAAATAGTGGAAGACTAAATTTCTGTGAATTTTAGTCACACGGCTTAACATATTGTGTGCATGCAAGCATTTCTTCCATTTGGTTCATTGTCTCGTGTCTATCATCCGATGTTGTCATCGTATTTATGGCTGGGTTTAGCTTCTACTTCAGAAATTTGTCTTGATGAATGTTATTGAATTCTGGTTGAGTTGATTTTGACTAAGAGCTTGATAGGCACAACTAGAGCATCCACAACTGTCGAACGCAACCAGTTGTCAGACCCTTGTGGATCACAAGGTGTTTTGCTGGAGAACTTTATTACCAATTTTCCAACCTCGAGTAGAGCGAGGCTTTTTTGTCCATGATGAAAGGAACGACTACAATATAACAATGGGCTTTTCGATTTCTGCTACGAGAAATTAATAGATATGAATTTGAACATGAACGAGCGAGAATTAGAAGAAACATATGAAAGGTTCGTGATACTTATTTATCAACGGAGGTGACTAAATGTTGAAGAATGAGCTTTCTGAGACAAGAGTATAACTGATGAGGTGTATCTGGATCATCACAAATCCGTTTTACCAAGAGTGTTTAAAGTGATGTTTAAATCAGTGCTGCATCTATTACGCACTGTTCTGCTGTCAGTACATTCCAGGAGTATAAGAGACTCAGTTCTCTTTGAAAATGAAGACCATCGTGCTAAACGAAGGAACCCTCTAAAGGTTCATGGCTTCTTACTATGTAACACTACAGCCTCATACTGTCTGCAATATGACTCGTTCACTGTATCACCTCGAATGTCTTTAAATATCGGATGATTCCATCGTGCATTAATAAAATTTCCTTTTCCCCATCATACGCCAAAGCTACCTGTGCTCACTGAAACTGGACAAAGAACACCATGCACCTTGGAACGAAGTTGTTTATATTTTCTGTTCTCGACGGGAACTTAGCTACTCGTGTCAGGTATGTCACCTTGCTCTACTGTGGCATGGAATCACAAGAGGCATTAGAAGACTCTAGGCTTGCGGTAGTAGCGTGAATTAAACTAGATTCCTTATGTCGCAATCACCCATGTTCCCATTGTTGAGATGCCAGACGCGCTCAGGAATACAAAGATCATTTTCAGAAACACCCGTTTAATGTTTGAGGAGCAGAAATGATGGAGAGCAAACTGCTGTTTTTCAACATGTTGTTCTCTCAAGGATGCGATGAAATGGATGCTATTTTGATTGCCGGAACATGTTTAACAGCTGTTCAATGAGAAAAACATCCTCGGGAATCTTTCACTGTTGTTGCAATCACCTGTAAGTGACGAAGTTCATTCATTGCGGATAATTCGAAGGAATTATGTGAAGAAACGCGAAAGACCTTTTATTCTTCATTTTCCTTCTTCAGAAGGAAAAGGATGCAGGCACATTCGAATGAAGACAGTGTGGACCTCATTATAGTTTAAAGTATGAAGTGATTAGTAGATAGGTGACAACAGTCTGACGTCACGAAAATTGTGGGATGGAAGCCCTTTCCCATTAAGGTCCTTTTCCTTTTGTTCGTTTAGCGGGTGATTTTCTTCTCTTGGTGCCTAAAATAAAATTGTACTTCAGGTGATGAGTTTCTCGCGTAGTGCTTGATGCAATCGTCTTAGTGCAGCCTGTCTCATTTCTTGTAGCATAGAACGTCTCTCCTAGTAAGGAACCTGTAACGTCAGGCTAGCAAAACTTTTCGTTAATGTTGTTGAGGTTATTGCAATGTGACCTGTTTTCTCAGTACTCTCCAAAACCGGCTATTGTTTAACCTCGGCATAAATAATCAGTATTTTCTTAGATTATCGAGCTTGTTGAGGTTGTCATACAAGTTTTATTCCACTAAGATTTTGATGATTTTTCACGGCCGGGATAATCCGAGTCGACTGTCCAAACCGTTCATCCTTGTAACGTGGATCTTCGTAGTAGCATTATATCAAATCCGATGGAGTGGCGCACCGCTGGAATGATGAACCTCACTAGGAATGCCCTCTTATGCATGCCGGTTGTAGATTGGCTGATGACGAGGCCTCCATATTACATTAAGGAGGATGGATGCGAGCCTTCGGCCAGTACTCATCAACATATGAGCTTACTTGTCACATACTACTTGTCGGGATGTCATTTTTCAAATCATCGGTAGTCCAGCAAGACCGTGTTATTGCATAGGTAGGGAGAAACATGACATTAGCAACTGTCGCACACTGTTGAGACAGAAGCGGTCATAGTTCTCATAATCTAAGGCGTTCCTACTAAGTATATAAGGATTCTTCGTGACTTACGTAACACTTTAAAAGCTCGAATACTATCAGTCTATAACGACAATAACATCGACATATGGACATGGATTCAACAAGGCCTACTGTCTCGCCAAATTATGTACAAGCAACCAAGAACGTCATGCAAGCAATGGAATGGGACAACAAGGGAGTGAAAATCGATGTTCGGCAATTACACCATTTTCGCTTTGCTGACGACGTTGTTCTTTAACATCGAGCATTAACCGAGCTCATCCGCTCGGTTAAAAAAAAATGAAAAAACTGGTCTTCGACTAAATTGAAAGAAGACGATGTTCATGAAGAACGTTAGCTTCTGATGCCATTCACGCTCATTGCAGTGGAAATCTCCGGTTGCTATAACTATCTGTATTGGAGTCAAGAAGTCAACGTGATGAAAGACTTATAGCTGAGTGAGAGAAAATGAGCAGCTTGGAGTGCTTCAAGAGCATCAAGGATATAGCGAAGAAAAATTTTTTAAATAAACCTTACTCCATATTCACCCTTTTGCCTCTACGGTTTTTATTCACTTGACATGTGAGTCAGAAACCCTCTGGGCAAAATAAACTGGATAGCAGATTACTTATTGATTTCGTTGTCGAGGTGGTGAAACTGGGTATATTCCGTATTCTACAAATGGAGAAGTGGATCCAAACTTACGATCAACGTCAACGATTAATGATCGGAGATGACGCCATGCATACTAGATCGTGGAAAGTCAGGTGGGCCGCACACGTGATGCGTCCTGACATCAACCACTGGATTGAGGCATTTAGTGGCTCGACTTCACAGAATGTCAAGTGCTCGGTGAGAGAACCACGGATTCGATGAACAGTACTGTTCACAAGGATCGTACAAGAAAATTATGATGCTCAGGCAGACTGTAGAGCGAAAAGATACCAGTGGTCCGGTCTTGTGCGTAATAGAGCGGATGAGAACTCTTCTGGCCCCCGCCGGAGCTGAGATGCTTTTGGTTGAAAATAACAACCACTGATAGTGATATGCAGTGATGTCGCCTTTATAGAGTAAAAAAGATGTAGAGTGCTCATAGTCATACAGAAAATGAATAGTGTTAATTGAAGGAATAATTTGTCAGCTGAGTATGGACTAATCAACATATATTCCTTCATCGATAAGATAGCTATTTAATATGGACTTTTCTAAAATAATTTCTGTAGGTGGTGAGAATAAACTCCTTCTGTGGAATGTGGGAACAGGTGAAGCTCTGCTCGAAGTCGCTGGCCATCCTGACCAAATTTGGAGCATTGGATTCAACTACGACGGATCACAGTTCGTGACCACTTGCAAGGTGCACATCATTTAAACTTTATATAAATTTGGAATAGTCGTCGTTGTCTGCTGGTGTGTTGTTCTCAATGATGTCTTAGTTTTCTGTAGAAACTTTGATTAGCCGATTGAAATGTATAGGATTTACCTAACCTACGATTTCATCGTTATACGAGCAATGAAAGCAGTCTAATCACAAAAAAACTCCCTTTACACTTTCGATGTGAAGCATGTGTCTTATTTTTTCTCTTTTCGAAAATCTCTTATTGTTTCTCTGTTTTTCTGATATGTACACACAGAGTTATTACCATACTCTTTAGTTATACCCTTTATTCACAAAAGCTGGCGTTAAGCCGGATTTCGCAGAGGAGAGGCAATGAACCAGCATATTCCTGCTACTTGGTGTTGGGCACCACTAGATAATGTAGCAAATTTTGGATTGGTCAATTTCAACGCTCAGAAACGGAAGCCGTTTTCTTTCGCTTTCTATCATGTGAAATTTATGTACTCCGATGCTTCATACAATAACTCAAAATATTTGTTTACCTCTTTTTCCGTAGAGTAGATGACAAAACAGTCATCCATATATCTGCGCTATAGTAATGGAGATCGTTTTCTGGTACTTCCACCTTAGACATAAAGCAACGGTAAGGCTTGTTGCCAGTCGTTGTTCCATCGCCAACCCTCTCATTTTTGCGAAATACTTCTCGGACCATCTAAAAGTTGAGCAGTACAGACGCTCTTCGTAATATGGGCTGGAATATGTTCCAACATATTGTTGTATTTTGTGTTCAAACTTATTCTTTCACTTATTTTGAAGATTCAAATGTTCGAAAATTTCGCGACTTACCGTTTACTGCGCAAGAGTCCCGTTAATTTTACTACTTTTGGCGTGAAATAGAAAAAGCACTGGCTGCTGAAGTCTTACGCTCATTCGGAACTAGCAAAAATTTGGGAAAAAACTGTGGTGAGAATCTCAATGTGAAGTTATTCACGCTTCCACCGGGATCTTCCATTTCGGTGCTGCTCAGGCGCGGTAAGACGATCGGACACGATGTGTAGGCCTGTAAGAAATGGGAGTACAGTACAGTACACTAAACGCTTCTTTCTATTCCTAGGTAGAAGTGTTCCTTGACGAATTCGATGTAAAGAGTTCTTTGGAATATTTTATTGTGTATTTTGTCGACGAAAATTGTCTCCACACCAAAGCCAGCTGTGCCATTAACGAATATCTGCAAATGTTGTACCAACAAATGTTAGGACATAAGAGGACCTGCATATGTCCTTGTTATTACTGTTGTGTACTCAAGTCACTCGATGCATCACTTGATTCGCGAGAAATCGGCCAATAAAAGGTGATATAGGACGACTTAAAATCGATTTGGTCAAATACTGATTTGATTTATTGGCATCACATGTGGTTATCATCTCTCCCAAATGCATTCTCCTTACTTTGTTGTGAATTTTATGCAAAATCACGAATTTGAAAGCGATTAAAACCCAATTTTTTTACTTCTACATCTTGTGGTATTCTGCTTTTGTTCAAATCATCCCACATCAACTGTTTTATTACCCATTTTTTAGGAGCAGTTATTTTACTTTCTATAGTATTGTGACGTGCTTGTTGGAAATCTACCACTAAGCTGTAGACCTTTCACAAATCAAGTCGTGAATAACAAGCATCTGCTTTTCGCGACAATGTGCACCTTTCCCGAATACGGCATGCCAACAAGGTTTATCGATTTTTAAGAAAGACGTCGTTAGAGTATTTTTCGAAACAAAATTAAAGTGCTTATAAAATGGAGAGAAGCACTTCCACCTCGCGAATTTTCATCTTCACGCAACAACGAATGCACCCTTTGATGATTGATTAACATCGTGCGCTTCGTCCCGTTTCATCCTTTATGTATGCATAGATGCACATACATAGAAGGCACAAAATGTTTCAGGATAAAAAAATCCGAATTTTGGACACTCGTAGTGGTGAAGTAGTACACGAGGGTATAGGTCACGAAGGAGTCAAGCCACAGCGTGCCATTTTCATAAACGATGGTAGGATTATCACCACTGGATTTACGAAGCGATCTGAGCGACTGTATGCACTCAGAGCACCGGTAAGAAGTTTCTGGTTGATTCATATTTGGAAGTCTTTTCTCATTGAAATTCTTCAGAAGTCCAAAATCGTTGTCTGTATAATTTGGAAAAAAACGCACTATCATAATGCCGTAAAGAAATTTGTACTGTAGCTAGTGCAATCAGGTCACAACAGTAGTTCTCAGGAACGACCTACCAATAGCACTACTGCATCCTTTTTGCTCAGAATGGTATTAAATTGGTTTGCTACTAACTAGATGACACTCGTGGTGAATAGATTCCTAACCTTGTTATTATGGGTCCTTCTTCGTTTTTGGCAAGCCGTCTTCATTAAGTTTCTTTTGAGCAAAGCGCATTGTTTTTCGTTTAGTGTTTTTAGATATTTGGTGTTCAAGGGAGAAAACGCAGAATTTTTATGTAACAAGCTGAGTCGACGTATTGAGTTCATGAGTTTGTTGCCGTTCAGGATAACCTTTCCCAACCAATTATTGAAGAAGAGCTGGATACCTCGAATGGAGTGCTTTTTCCACTTTACGACGAGGATACTAGCTTGGTATACCTTTGTGGAAAAGTTAGTTCTCGTTTAAGTGTCGTTCCTGATTATTTTGTCTACCGAATTATTAAAACAACTGCTTCGGTTGGACCTATTCGCGACATTTCATTTCACTGAGATTTGCTTTATGAATTGCAACGGACACCTTTTACTGTTAACTTTTCATTTACTGTCCACTACAATTTTTTCACGGCAGGATATAATGTAGGATACAACCACAATGATGCTTAGTTATTTGCAAAGCTCCGCATCACAGATGTCTGCAGTTGAGATCCAACACGCAATCACTCTCCGAGGGCTAACGCGTTCACCACCACACTATGCGGGTTCACCGTCTCGTCTGTCTTCCAGCTTGTTTTCTATCTACCAGAACCAGCAACAAAAATCCGTCAACGGGATAGAACTGGGAAGCATAAAACCAGATCTAGCTGAGGTAAAGGCGAAAAGAAGGATCTGCATGGTGTGGTGGTGAACGCGTTGACACCCGGAAAGGGTAGTGGCGTGTTCAGTCCACATCGCAGACACCTGATGTCCTGAGTCTTGCAATTATCTCAGCATCATTGTGGTTGTATCTAGGTTTTTACTGTATTTTTTCTGCACTTCTTTCATCCTCGTGTTAGCTTAATAATCTAAGAAAGTATTAGTTATAACATCGAAGTTAAATGACGATCGGTTTGAGAAATAGTTTTGCTATTCGCCGTGTGCTAGTTGGCAGCCAAATAAGATAAGTTTCAAAAAGTGAAATAAAAATATTGAAGATATAAAAATAAAAATTGCATAAAATCACTAGTTCGTTGTATAAAATAAAATAGAAAAATGTATGCTAGTAAGCATAGTACCGAATGCTGAAGGATAGATTATCTGTTGAAAAACAAATTACTATCAACGGATAATGAATCTGTTGTTCTCTTTTCTACAGCAATCGCGAGGTTGTTATTCAGCACACCTTTACTTCCTTACAAGTAATGCGGGTATACACACACAACACAACGGTAGCTGACGTTTCGGCAGAATCGCCTTCTTCAGAGTCTGGAAAGGAAAGGATAAGGAGTATGATGCGATATGTACTATCCCATGCTGATAAGGAGTACGGCTTTTCCATCAGGAAGTCTAGCTGAGAGTAATCCAACACCAATACCAGGATCAAGTACTGTTGTGGAACCAAATTAGTCGCATGGTGGCAAATCTCCCGCTGATCCATAAGGGCTGCGACTGCCTATGGTGATGACGATCTGGGACGGACTTTGGCTAGGCTGACCTCGGGCTTCCAGGGAAACACGTTAGCTAAACCAACAGAACTCTGCAAAATGGAGATTATGCTGGGGCCCGCACAACTAGTGAGGTGGGGCCGTCCAAATCCAAGTAAGTATTTAAATGTTTTGCGGTAGGTTTTAAAAAGCGACAACTCGACAACTCGTTACGTCGTAACAAGGTTCTTTGAACTGTGGATGGTTGAGCTGGTTTTCTTCCATGGATTTTGTTCCTCCCCACGATATTTCGGGGTGGTCCAATAAGGTCGTGGCGTTCTTCGCAAACCAGATTTATGAGGTACTCCTACGCATGTGTTGTTTCACACTTTAGATTTTCCCCGCGTTTTATAGCTTGGAATATTCCATCCGAAGCAGTTGCCGTCTTGATGGCGGTTGCTCCTGTTCCTCAATCCGGTCAAAGAATGGATAGCTTCAAAAAATCTCTAGAAATTCTTCTTTAACACCACAAAGCAGTGCTTCGTCATCTGGCTCTCGATATCATTACATATAAATGGATCAGTGTTGCAAATCACATAGTAGTTCTTATTCAGAAATTTACTTTAGAGGTTTGTCTGCAGACACCACCTGAAGCGATATGTCTGTCCCTCCATCTTCCTTTCTCGCTTTTTAATGCACTTCCACAGAGTTGTATTGAATGATAACGACGGCTTTCAAATGGAACTCGAATGTGCCCGCGTGAATTAGAGGGCGTTTGCCTATTTGGCACCAGTTGTCGTCCAGAGCGGCGACAATCTCTGACGTAGGTTTACTTTTAACTGAATTTTTGAACGGGGGTTTCCAGCTGGATGCTTGGATATGCTTGTGAAATGAGAGTGAAGACCCAGCTGCATATTGCTGTTAAAACAATCTCTCACTATCGTCGGCGATAGAGCATTGACAGAACGGCGAAGCGCTAAGTTCAATAAAATGACGTAGTAAAGCAATTAACCGTCCATATTCACCGTTATACTCTTCAAAACGCACGACATACTTATTCGATATGATAACTGCATTTGTTTAAATCTGTTGTTCTCTTTGCTACAGCAATCGCGAGGTTGTTAT